GGCTGGCGGGGGGCCAAGGGGCGAGCTGTCCGGTGATTTTGGCATCTACAGGCCCTCTTGGGGGCCGTCTGGAAACCCTCTTAAGATTGGCTCGTCTGGGGGGTGGTTTGAGCCGTCTGGAAGCCTTCGCGGAGCGCCTCGGGGGCGTGGCGAACCGTCAGGAGGCGACCGCGGTCGCGTGGGAGTGATTTTCCAGCGACTCGGGCGCGACTCGGTGCCTTGTCGTCGGGCTGGCCAGGAGGTGTCTTGGGGCGGCTTCGGGGCCTCTCGGGCGCTCTGGGCGCCCCTGGGGGGAGCCTCCGACACAGTCCTGAAACGGGCGGTGGCACTTCCAGGCCTGGGTTGGAGCGCCGGCAAGCCGACAAGGCAGAAGCCCACAAACACATCTCAAGGCTGAGGGAAAGCAGTGATTGATCGCTGCCTGCGCTCGTGGGGCCCCTCGGGACCCCTCTTGGAACGCACGGGAAGCGTCTCTACAGCAGTCTTGAGCCCCACGTGGAACGCCTCGGGAGAGGGGTGGGCCATCTGGAAGCAGTCACAGGCGTCCTGGAGTGACTTTCCGGCGGGATACACAACGACACCGCGCGAACATCGGGGCGCATCGGATCGCCCGAAGATCGGGTCCGAATCGGATCGCCGATGTCGAATCGGATCGATCGGATCGAACCGCACGCCCGGGCCGCACGGGCACCTCCCATACCATCTTGATGGCTCTTTCGACTCGACGCTAATCGACGCTAGCCGAAGCTCATTCGGCGCGATCCCATCGATTATCCGAGGCTCACCGAACAAAGCTCCCAAGATTTGCTACCGAAAGAAAAACGTCTTGACAAGTCTAAAGGGCTTCTGGGAGGGCCCGCCGACAGGCGGGAGGGCTTCTGACAGGCCCTGCGGCTGCTTTGGAGACAGCCCCCTCGCCCCGCCTGTTGCGCGCCGCCAGGCGGAAGAGGAGAAGATGGGAGGGATCATCAGGAAACATTACGAACCAGCAGGAAACAGGAGTGTGTGTATATACATATATATACATATACATATACTCGCAGTAACAACGGCCGAACGAAGCAGAAGGGAGTAGGGAGAAGTACGTCAACTCAGCATCGCGCTCGTGGCTTAGCTTGGCGTGGGGCTCTGAGTCGGCGTCGTCGTCGTCGAACATTCGAGGTTCGATGATCGACGATGTCGGGGTCGTCGTCTGCCTGGGGGGGCGTCTTCCGTCCTCTAAGGGGCGCCACTGGGGCACCTGGGAATGTTGGGGCCACACTGGGGCACAAGACCAGAAGCCGTTTTGGAGGGCTCTCAGGCCGTTTAAGGGGCGTCTTTGGGGCTCCGTTGGGGCTCTCTTGGGGAGGCCTCCTGGGGCATCTTTGAGCGATGTCAGAAACCCTCTGAGGCCGCCCTGTGGCTCTTCTGTGCCGTCTTCAGGAGCTGTGGGCGTCCGTGGGCTCCCTTGGGGGTACCCGGGGGCCTGCAAGAGCCTTCCTGGGCCGTCTTGGGTCTTCTTGGGGCCCTCTTGGGGCCCCCTTGGGCTTCGGGCTCTCTTGGGGGCTTCTTGGGCTGTTTTAGGGCGGTTGTGGAGGCGTCCGGAGTATCTGGGGGCCTCCTTTCGGCCCCCGTGGAGGCTGGCAGTGCCCTTCTTGGGCCATCGTGGGCCTCCTTGGAGCCGTCCTGGGCAGTCTTCGGAGTCTCCTGGGGGCTTCTTGGGCTGTTTTGAGGCGGTCTGGGCGGCGTCTAGGGTCGTGGCGCACGCTGGGCCAGGCCGCCGCGCGTAGAACGTTTTTCGAAAGGAAATGGTGCGATTTCAACCTCCTGGTGTCTTTTTGAAAGCCATCTTGGAGCCCTCTTGGGGCGCTTGGGGGCCTCGTGGGCTTTCTGGGTGGCCTGTGGGGGCTTCTTGGAGACGTCTTGGGGGCGGTCGGAGGCCCCTTGGACGCCTCGCGAAGGCTTTCGGGAGCCCCGGTCCTCCCATGCCCCGCCTTGGTCCTTGGGCGCGGCCAGGGGGCCTCGTCCCCCCGGATCTATATGTGTATATATACACATACATATAATATGTATATACCTATTATATATATATATATATGTGTATACATATATGTATACACATACATCTACATATACATATACACATATATATGTGTGTACACATCTATAAACATTAATATGAAAAGCATACGTCTACACACACGTGCATGCTTCTTAACAATAAGGATAACAATACTTATAACTAATTATATGTATATGTATGTTTCCCAAACGGTGCGGGCACTGAAGGGGTCCTAACGGAAGTTGAAAGATTTGGAGAAAATGCAAGGCCGATTTCGGTGGGCGGCTAGATTCCTGGGTTCCCAGTTCCGTGCTCCTGGGATCCTGGTTCCAGATTCCGGGCCGATTTCAGTTGGCGGCGGGGTTCCTGGTTTCTCAGGTTCCTGGTTGATCTTCTTATCGATCGGTATCACCATCGATCTCATTACCCACCTGTCTATATCGATTTCTCTATCGCGATCTTAAGATCGACTTCACAATCGATCTCACTATAGATCACACAAGCGAGGTCAAGATTGATCTCGCTATCGATCTCATTGAATCGACTTCACTATTGGTCTCACGATCGCCAATACAATCGTCCTCACTATCGATGCCACTATCGATCAGACGATCGATCTCACAGTGGATCTCAATATCCATGCCACTATTTCTCAAACCATCCACTGGTTCGGTTTTGTCTCTGGTGGAATTCCCCAATCACTGCTTGCACTGAAGGGGTCCTCGCGGAAGTTGAAAGATTTGGCGAAAATTTCCCGCCGATTATGGTCGCACGCTGAGTTCCTGGGTTCCCGGTTCCGGGTTCCCGGGTTCCCGGTGCCGGGCTCCGGGCCGATTTCGGAGGGCGGCGAGGTTCCCGGGTTCCCGGGCTATGGGTCGATCTTCTTATCGATTGGTCTCACCATCGATCTCATTACCCACTTCTCTATCGATCTCACCATCGATCTCACAATCGATCTCACAAGCGATCTCACTAGAGATCGCATGAGCGATCTCGGGATCGATCCCACTATCGATCTCATTTAATCGATTTCACTCTCGGTCTCACGATCGACCTTAAAATCATCTTCGTTACCGATTCCACGATCGATCTCATCATCGATCTCACAATCGATCTCAAGATCCATAGTATTAATTTTCAAATCATCCGATGATTGGGTTTTCTCAGGTGTAATATAATTATGCAAATGTACCCATCCACATAAACATGTATATATGAATATATACGTATACATGAGAAACTGAGCAGGTATATTACAACGCATATGAACATGTGTAAATGTATATAAATGTGTGTGTGTGCGTATGTCACTCTCGTTCGTTCTCCCTCTCCCCCGGTTTACCACTTCCCGAACACATGTTCCAAGTCCTGCGTTCCCAAATCCCGGGTCCGGACACAATTAACCGGTGTTCCCCATCTACTGGCTCCCGGTTCCCAATTCCCGGTTCCTGCATGGTTCCCGGTTCCGGTTCCCGGCTCACGGTTCCCCGCTCCAGGTTCCCGGCTCACGGTTCCAGGTTCCCGGTGTCGGTTCCCGAATCCCGGTTCCTGCTTCCCGGTTCCCGGTTCCCGGTTCCCGGTTCCTGGTTCCCAGTTCCTGGTTCCCAGCTCCTGGTTCCCGGTTCCCTTCACTATTGCTCCATAGTGGGGTGGTGAGGATGAGGAGAAAGGAGGCAGGAGGAAGGAGGAGGCAGGACCGCGGGGCAATGTCTCTTCAAAACCAGGACCCACCACCACAGGATGGTTGGGAACAGAACGTCGCCACATGTAAGTACCGGACTTAGGGCCGCGCCAGACGACGCCACGCCTCCGCGGCGGACAGGAGCGCGGCGCGGCGCACGGGCGTCAAGGCAAGGGAGCTCCCAAAACAGAAGCCGCCCATCTTGGCGGTGGCGTAAAAACATCGGGCCCCGTGCAACTAAACAGATATACTCCACCGCCGCGTTTGTTCTGACGAGCCCCGCTCCGGCCCACAGGCGCGAGGAGTGGCCCCAGTCGTCGCTGGCGGCGGGGCTGTGACAAAAGGTTTCCCACAAACACCTAACTGCGCCAAAACGGATCGCAACTTGTTCCAGATCTTGGTGGTGGTGGTCGTTCACCGTGCCCGGATCTGGGGCCTCTCTTGGAGCCTCTTGCAGCCTCTCTTGGGGCCTCTCGTGGGCCTGTCGGGGCCTCGTGGGCCATCCTGGGAGCTATTGGAGACCTTGCAGACCTGTACTGGAGGACTGAGGCCTTGCAGGCCTGTCCTGAAGGACTCCAGGGGAGGGGGGGGGCCTGGCCGTCTTGGAGCCCTCCAAGCACCTGCTAGGGCTGTCTGGGGCGCACCGTGAGACACGGAAGAAGGCTGGCAGCCCCATGAGAAGGGCGGAGCCCATGCCAGGTCCACGAACGTCCCCTCTTCTGTATTTCGGTCGGGCATATCCCCCCCTACAGGGGGACTTCGGACGAAACTTTAATAATAGTCCAAACAAAATATGCAACAACAAAAAAAACTAGTCAAACAAATCGTCCCCGCATCATGCTTGGACTATTTCTGAATGTTCCTCCTGTGGAGGGACACGCCCGACTTAATTCGATCAACCATAGACACATACGGTTTTGAGATCTTGTTGGAAGGTTCTACGGTGCGGTGCCTCAGAGCAGGGTGTTGTTTGGCATGGGCCTTCACTGTAAACAGACACGGTACGTAATGCATGAGTACCGGAATACCGAATGCGAAGTGCTATTATTTTGTGTGTTTGCCGACACGGTCAGACCTGTTCCCCCATCCGAGCCGGAATCATTTTTTGTGGAAACCGAACTCGCGCGCTACCAATCCCCTGATAAGAAAATGAGCCAGCTTTCTGGCAAGTTGGTTAAGAAACGCTGGGCCAGCTCGTCGGGGGGGTTCTTAATCATAAGCGGGACCGTAAGAAATCTTGTTAGAATAAGTCGTGGGCCACAGCCTAAGGTCCTGAACGGTACCTCAGAGCCTCTGTCTGGGCCCCGAGGCCATCGGGGAACCAACCAGCCCGCGCCTGCCGGGGAGCAGGCGCGTGTGAGACGTGTGGCTGTCACGCTGTCTTCCTCCCCCTCCTCCTCTCCCTCCTCCTCCTCC